AATACAATTATAGCATGGATAATAAACGATTATCATGAACAAGGAAATATAATAATAATAACTAATTTATTATTGCCTCTAGGGCATATTTCCAACACCCCCAACACTGGTATCTACAACCCGACTGCGCCTGCATGGGACCAGGGCGCGCTGATCCACGCCCTCAACTCCATGACGATGCAGCAGCACCAGTCGCCACCGACCGCGGATGGTACCTCGATACAGGTGCGACGTCGCACATGGCCTCCTCGTCCGGTATGCTCTCCTCCTCCTTCCCCCATACTTCATCTCGCATTGTTGTCGGCGACGGGACCATGCCTGCGACCAGGCACACCGACCACACCACCATCCCAACCTCAGGCCCTCCCATCTCTCTCCGCAATGTTCTTGTCTCCCCACACCTCATTCGAAACCTAATCTCTGTCAAAGCTTTAGCTCGTGATAACCCATTGAATGTTGAATTTGATGATTTCGGTTTCTCTCTCAAGGATCGAAGAATGAAGAGGGTGATCCTCCGCTGTAACTCGGACGATGACGAGCTCTACACCATGTCATCCGCGCCCGCATCCCATGATCACCACGCGCTCACCACCACCACCCGCGATCTGTGGCACCAGCGTCTCGGCCATCTAGGTGGAGATGCCCTTGGCCGCACTCTTCGTCTCACGGGCGTCGACTGCGACCACTCCGCCTCCGGTGTCTGTCATGCGTGTCAACTAGGGAAGAGCACTAGGCTCCCGTTCGGCTCATCCGGACATGTATCTTTCTTTCTGTTTCAGTTAGTGCACTGTGATGTATGGACCTCTCCCGTGCAGAGCAACTCCGGTTGCCAATACTATCTACTTATCCTCGATGACTATAGTCACTTTGCATGGACTTTTCCTTTGCGACACAAGTCCAATGTTCTTCCCGCGATCCGCATGTTCTTCGCCTTTGCACGCACTCACTTCAACCTTCCCATCCTCATGGTCCAAATGGACAACGACAAGGAGTTCGAAAACGCAGCCTCACACGCTCTCTTCTCCTCGCTTGGCGCCCAGCTACACATGTACTGCCCTTACACCTCACCGCAAAACGGACGAGCAGAGCGCGCACTTCGCACCCTTAACGACATCACGCGCTCGCTCCTCGTCCACACCCACATGCCATACTCCTACTGGGCCGAAGCTCTACAAACAGCCACTTTTCTCCTCAACAGACGGCCTTGTCGTCCTCGCCACGATCACTCGCCATTGTTCCTGCTCTACGGCGCCCAACCTGACTATGCCGCAATGCGTGTGTTTGGTTGTCTGTGCTACCCGAATCTCACAGCCACAACTCCGCACAAACTAGCCCCACGCTCTGTGCTGTGTGTCTTCCTCGGGTACTCGCACGAGCACAAGGGCTACCGGTGTCTCAACCGTGCCACTGGGCGCGTGGTGACCTCGCGGCATGTCATCTTCGATGAGGGCACGTTCCTTTTTCACGCCAACACGAGCGATCCAACAGAGCCAAATACATCCCTTCTCGACCACCTGGCCACCCTCCCTTTCGTTCCACAACAACCCAGGACCGTTCGACCATCTAACTCATCTCCTCCCACCATCATGGACGCACCCACGCCAGCATCGGCGCCTGTTGACATGGCAGTCCCCCCATCGTCCCCTCCCACACCCGAACCAGCGTCTGCCCTCTCCGCGCCCACGACACCCGAACCGGTGTCGCTCACCTCAGCTCCCGCCACACCGCCTCACGTGGAGTCGACGGCCACTCCTGTTGCCAGCGCCTCCACTGCCTCGCCACCATCCTCACCACCGCCTCGCTGCCGTGCCTGCCCACTCCCAACACACCCCATGCAGACGCGTGCGCAAGCCGGCAAGTTTCTTCCTAACCCTAAATATCACCAGAACCTCACAACATCCACTACACCTGATACATCCCCGATCCCAAAATCCGTGCGTGCCGCGTTGCGCGATCCTTATTGGTTGGCTGTGATGCAGGTGGAGTACAGGGCCCTCATGGAGAACAAGACCTGGAGGCTCGTACCGCGGCTGCGCGGTTCCAACATCGTCACCGGCAAGTGGCTGTTCCGACACAAGCTCAAGGCTGACGGCACGCTCGAACGCTACAAGGCCAGATGGGTGGTTTGCGGCTTCTCCCAACGCCCCGGCGTCGACTTCAACGAGACCTTCTCACCGGTCGTCAAGGCGGCCACGATCCGCGTCGTCCTCACCGTTGCAGCATCTCGTCGATGGCCCATGCATCAAATGGATGTCAACAATGCCTTTCTGCGCGGCCACCTGACGGAGCAGGTGTACTGCCAGCAACCTGCTGGCTTCGTCGACGAGGCTCACCCCGACCACGTCTGTCTGCTCGATCGCTCCCTCTACGGCTTGAAGCAAGCGCCACACGCCTGGTTCGCGTGCTTCGCTGCGTTCGCCCGCAACATCGGCATCATCACTTCTCAGGCGTACCTGTCTCTTTTCGTGCTCCACAACAACGAAGGCGCCGCCTACCTCCTCCTCTACGTCGGCGACATTATTCTTGCTGCTTCATCGACTACGCTTCTTCATTAACTCCAGCGCCGGCTCTCGACAGAGTTCTCGATGAAAGATCTCGGTCCACTTCACTACTTCCTCGGCATCGCCGTCACACGCACTGCTGACGGGTTCTTCCTCTCTCAACGGAAGTACGCCGAGGAACTACTCGAGCGCGCCAACATGCAAGCCTGCGAGACGATCTTGACTCCTGTCGACACCCGCTCGAAGCTCTCCCCGACGGATGGCGCGCCGGTGCCCGACGCCGCGGACTACCGCAGCCTCGTTGGCGCTCTCCAGTACATGACTATGACGCGCCCCGACATTGCCTATGCAGTCCAACAATGCTGCCTGGTGATGCATGACCCGCGCGTCCCACACATGGCGCTGGCGAAGCGGATACTGCGCTATCTCCGGGGCACCACAAGCCATGGACTGTGCCTCCAACCAGTTGCCTCCCTCGACCTTGTCGCCTACTCCGACGCCGACTGGGCCGGGTGTCCGGACACACGCCACTCCACCTCCGGCTATGCCGTCTACCTTGGTGATGCTCTGGTGTCCTGGTCCTCCAAACGCCAGGCCACCGTGTCCAGGTCGAGTGCGGAAGCCGAGTATCGCACCGTCGCCAACGCCGTCGCCGAGAGCTGCTGGATACCGCAACTCCTCGCCGAGCTAGCGACTCCTCTTCGCAAGGCCAGCATTGTCTTCTGCGAAAATATATCCTCCGTCTACATGGCTGCCAACCCTGTGCATCATCACCGGACCAAGCACATCGAGCTTGATATCCACTTCGTCCGGGAGAAAGTGGCCCTCGGCGAGCTGCGCGTCCTACATGTGCCAACGAGCCAACAGTTCGCCGATGTTCTCACCAAAGGGCTACCCGCGCCAGCGTTCGAGGAATTTCGGTCCAGTTTGTGCGGGTCATGCATCACCAGGCAGGGTGTTAGCAGTTAGCTAGTCTCTCCCTCTCACCTCTCTCCACCGTGCGCACGTACTGCATGCAATCGCCCACGATCCATGCACGTAGCCACGACCTAGCGCTCTGCGCCTCTGTTGTAACCTGAGCTATATATACGAGTGTATAGATCGGAGAGCACCTAAGGTGCGATCTCCTCTCCCCATAGCATTCTACAGAAAGAACTTTCGAACCAATTCCTTGTGCCTATGACGAGTGTGGGACCTAGCCAGCAAAGGTCATACCGTGCCTGCCAGCGATCATGAATTGATCCCCAATCTCCTTTCCCGAACAACCATGGCGGCAGCCCTGAGCCACTGGCGAGCCACGCCGCTGACCACCTATCACCACCGTCGCGCCTCTTGCGGAGCCATGGTTTCGCCGACGTCAAGTGCAAGACCGAGGGAGGAGGCGACTAGGATAACTTTGAGATCCGCAAGGGATCACGCCCATGGGAGCCTCACTGGTGGCAAGGTGCGCCCCCGCGGTACGCTGCCAGTTATTCGAAATCCTCGGTAAATTTAATTGGCACTGGTCTCCTTCTCTTAAATCTTGCTGAATTTACGGATTTTCGGGAGCTGCTAGTCTGTGAAGGATCTAATATACTCCTGTAGATGCATACTGTGACCTAATCCAGGCAGAATCAGCACATCACTGAGCTTCATCTTCCCTGTACATACTATATAGCATTGTGGATTGGATGACATGGAACCAATGGAGTTAACACATATATAGTATAGGAGTACGCAAACATGGTGTCAACAATTACAAAATGTTAATCGGAACCACGCGATGATGATTCGTACAGCTCTTTCTAGTTGGCCTGCTGAGGAGTAGTAGCTACTGCCACTTTCACTTTGGATGATGCTATCTAAAAAATGCAGGGTGATTGTTGGATCTGATAAAACATACTCCCTCTATAAAGAAATACAAGAGCGTTTAATTAGATCACTAATTTAATTATTTATATATAAATACTCTTATATTTCTTTGCAGAGGGAGTAAAATTTTATCAAAATGGAGATCTGTCATACGTTTAGGCGAATGTTATATAATCACCCTTCAAATCCTTTACATGGCCATGTCTTGCCAACACAAATATTCTCAGGTATCAGAAAGTACAACAAGAGTTACATTATACGAGTTCTCAAACTAATTTAGACTGGTACTCCTCGTCGCTTCCTCCCTGGCATGACATTAACTTCATGCGTATCCAAAGCACTACTTGTAGTAAAACCAGCAAATAGTGAATTATAAGGCTGGTCACAATGGGCAAGAACATAAGCTAGTAACTTACACACTTCCCTAGACTATGTTACTACCTCCATAGTGGGTAGGAACGTCTATGTAGTGTCATGCAACGATGTATTTATTAGGTTATAGACTCATTGTTTCTTGGAGTGTGTGATGTTCCGGTAACTTAGCTAGTTACCACAAGCACCTCTCTCTTCATTAAATATGTGCCACATAAGCAAAGTTGTATTGGAGTGTGTGATGTTACTCCTAAATTCCTCCCCATTGTGACCAGCCTAAGGCGGTATCCTTGATTTCCATGAAATTAGATTAAAGTCTCCGTTTGGTCTAACAGTAGGGTCTGTTAGAAGTTCCCCAAACGTCACACTTGGCAGTTCCTTGATTGAAACATTATTTGTATAAGGTATTATGCAAAGTGGATCCAAAGCAAGGTCTGTTATCACCACTGGATGGCCTTGTTCTATAGCCGTTACAACCACTGGAGGGCCTTGTTCTACATGTATGGCTGGGTCCACACTAAATCGGGCGAGGTTTCTTTTAACATATCTCATCACCTTGTCCAATATGCAACGCCAAAACTGAACATCGAGATTCTTTCTCAATATGTCTGCGTACACATTTGCTGAGACAAATGAACCATCCGCACTGTGCATTAACTTGGCAAATTCATCTGCTATCTGTAGTAGTCGCGGATGTTCTGTAGGTTCTACGCTTCCGAATGCCAGTGTCTTGAAAAGGTACCTCAACGCATCATAAGACAGAGCAGTAAGGAAAATTGGTTTCACCGATCCAAACCGGGCTAATCTTTTAAGTTTACTTATGATGATGATCTTGCTTCCTCTATCCATTCTTATGAAAAACGAGTGAAACTTTTTCCAGTGATCGTCATCTACATCAAAAGCAAACTCAATAACTACCAACATCATACCTTCCATAGTCCTTCTGTGCTCACATATTTTCAAAAGGCTGCCTCCATTCAAGTGCAATACAGATGGGAAGCGTGAACGGACCCTTTCATCGCCGCACACATGGGCAACCAAAGTTTTCTTCCCAGTTGTTACACCACCTATGATCGGGAGAACTGCCAGTGCATGATCACTAGGAGGGTCGTTGTGTTGCAACAAGAAGCTGAAGAGCTTTTGCTTCTCAGCGTGTCGGCCGAACATGAAGTTTTCGGTGTAAAGATAAACATCATATGGCATACGAGACATGCGCTCACATCCACCAAGAAGAACAATAAATTCTGCCATGTTAGCAACAACAATTTCTAGACTTTCCAACGCACCATGTGACTCGAGGCGTGTAACCTTATCATTTGTTGTTCGAGAGCGCTTGGGTAAATATAAGCTGCTTGCAGATGAGTGGTTGATGCTAACCTCGTCGAAGCCTGCGGTGTCTTGGAGGTCACGGTACCTCGAGTTGTCCAGCACACCATATCCTCTATACATGGCCTCTGAGAGCGTCTTGAGCTGCATCATCATTCCGGAGTTGGTTATGTACCTCGTGTCTGCCTCCTCAACCATTGTACCAGCTCTCATTAGCAGGTGCTGCAACCTCTCCACCACCTTCTCCTCCTCTGATTGAGGATGCCTAGAGGAGTTGTACTTGTTCATCAGAAATGAGATGAACTTGCTCACAAATTCACCTGCAACTGCAGACATGACAACCTCCATTGCCAGGATTGGTGGGGTAACGTGTTGGTCGGTCTGTGCACAAATTTAACTAGACTGGCCTCTGCAGACTCTTGGCAAAACAGAAAAGTGTCCAGGGATGATTTTGACTGCAGCGAGTGGGTGGGTGGCGCACGGATATTTGTCTAGTCTAAATGTCAAGAGATGTGACAAGGACAAACCAACTTTCCGAGAAGCATGAAAAAAGTTGGCCAATAATTATCATATTCACGGCTGGTAGGCAGGTCCAAATTAATTATCTTTGTGTTTGTCTTTCTTTGGACTCCTTTTACATTTCACATGCGAGGGTATTGGTCATCCTCCTTGGCAGAGGCGAGCTCCTTCCTGGAAAGACAAGTCAGGCAGAGGGCGGCCATGTGCTAATTTCAGTACGTAATCGTGCCTGGAAAGACATGTCCAGCAGGTAGCCTATTTTCTTATGTATTGTGGCCTGGAATAGCTCTGGAAAGACAAGTCAGGCAGAGAGTATGCAAGTCAAATTTCAGTTTCTGTAAAATGATCTTGATTCTCAATCTTTTTTTTTCTGTCCTGTTATTGGACATCCGAGTTCCCTTGTTTTTTTTTCCTTTTATTTTGTTCTGGGATGTTTGAATCCTTGTGCACAAGGAAATCTGTCCGACCGATGACCAATGGATTCAAGGGCGTGTGATCATAAGGGAAGTTAATTGTCTAAGCAACCTGAAAAAAATGGCTTGTATTTTTAATACTCATGGTAGTTATGTCCAAATTAATTGTTGTTCATGTATATTTAATCATCTTAGTATTTCTGTTTGTGGGTCTCCTACATTTTACATCAAATCACGATGAACACACACAAATGAAAACTTATAGCCAAGGGCACTTGTCGCGCCCCTCTTTCCTCTCTTTATTTTACTTTTCTCCTTTTTCTTGGTGTGACAAATCTCACGGCAGCCTCACATATATATAAATGAAGCCGTGCCCTGCTGCCTAAACCTACACGACCTGTAGCAACGAAACCTACTCGTACGCACACAAGTTACTTTCCTAATTCTAATCTAATTTAACCAAGCTAGCAAACTCCAAGATAGACACGCTATTAGTACTTAAGCACGCATGTAGTGACTCAACTATTACTCTTAGCGCGTAGACAACTATACCACGTGCAAGACTTTGACGCTTGGCAACTAATCAATCAAGATTTTTTTTAACAATCTCCCCCTATTTTTGACTTGTCATCCTCCTGCTCGCTCTGGTCTTGACTCGTTGTTGATCCATGACTTGTCATCCACATGCAAGACTAGACATATTAGTCTCATGTAGGAACTCAACTAAACCGGTTCTCCTTTCACTACACGCTTGAGCTTGATCTTCAACTGTCATATCCATACACTAAGTATGACCCGTCTGAACACATGCAGTGCACCTTCCTTGCACTGCCATGGTGTGCCACCGCCATTGCTTGGCCGCTGCCTTACACTCGGTTCGCACCGTACTTCTTATACTTCCTTGCAGTAGATCAACTCTCCACTACCCACACACCTCTTTGCTTTACGATGGCTTAACCTGCCATCGTCCTCCTTCGGCATCACACCAAATCCGCTGGCCGCAATCAGTACGCTCCACGAGGACATGGACATAACTCACAGAACATCTTGCACACCGCTTCAACTCCAATGAATAATCACCAAGACGAGCACTTGGACGCGACGACGACTCACAGGCATTACGCGGACCAAACATGCACTAGTAGAAAACAAGGCTTTGGTTATAGGTTGATCGGAGCAATAGTCCCGGTCGCTTTACGAATCAGGACTAATGTGAGCATTAGTCCCGGTTCGAGTGGCTAGGATGCCGGCCGGGGCTCGGCAAGCATCAGTCTTGGTCAGAATCGGGCCTTTAGTTCCGGTTCCAGACACCAATCGGGACTAAAGGGGCTGCGGAAGGAGTGACACCCTTTAGTCCCGGTTGGTGTCTGGAACTGGGACTAAAGGTCTGTCTTCAGTCCCGGTTTTAAACCCCAACCGGGACTAAAAAGTTGCCTATATATATAGGAAGGGAAAACAGACTAGCACACACTCCCACCTTTTATGAGGAAAAAACGGAGGGGAGGGTGGGCAGAGGCGATGAAATGTCTGTGAGCATGATGCCACTTGAGTTCACAAAACAAACATGATATGAGGTGCCCGAGCCACACTTAAGTTTTCTCCTCTTTCTTGCCCGAGCCACAAAATTCATTCTTCTCCTTTGTCCCCGTCCTCACCACCGTCGATCGCCCGCGCCGATCTCATTGCCAGCACCACCGTGGTGAGCCTCTTGTTCTTACCTTTAAAAAAAATTCTTACGTGTATGTTTTAGATAGTTACTTGTATAATTTTCTTACTTGTATTATTGTTTGTTATTATATAGTGTCATGGTTTCGACATCCGCCCCGTCGGCTCTCATCTGGTCTATGATTCGGATGTGGTATATTATATTTTATAACTATTTGTTTCATTTAGTGTTTATTACAATTATGTCGACGAACTTGACATAGATATTTTTATCTAGGAGGTATGTGAACCGGAAATTCCAACCGACCCTCTTGTCGAGAGGTTAAATTTAGTTGAAAAGGGAAAAAATATTTGAAAGAAAAATTGAAAAGAATTGAAGAAGAGAAGATGAAATTGGAGTTGCATGTTGCCAATGTTGTCGATGATCACGAGATCAAGATGGATGCATTGCGCTTGAAGATTAGGAAGATTAGAAAATATGCCAATGATAAAGAGGCTTGGTATCATTATGTTGTTGGATCAATTGTTACCTTAGTTGTGATTTTGATCACATTTGTTGTTGCATTTAAATGTTTTACATAGTTGTACGTTAGTTTCAATGTATGTTTTAGATGCTCGAGATAGTTGTATGTTGTTTTATGAGAACTATATATGTATGAACTTTATGTGTTTATTTTTGCAGTAATAATATTTGATCACTACTGTACTTTGGTTTTAGTGTGATGAACTTGTATTAATTTGATCATTTCTCTATTCACGATGTTCTGTAATGGTTTTTGATATACTTAACTATATAGTGCAGATGAACCGGCAATGGATATACAGTGACCGATGCACTTCCGAGTACATTACGGGCCTACATAATTTTATCGATGTGGCTAAGGCAAACAGTCACAATGGTTTTATGTATTATCCATATGTTGTCTATGAGAATATGAAGGATTACTCTTCCTCGAAAACCCTTTCACTTCCACCTGCTTAAGTCCGGTTTCGTGCCCCACCATAATTGTTGGACCAAGCATGGAGAAAGAGGGGTTATGATGGAAGACAGTGAAGAAGAAGAGGATGATGACAACTATACTATGTTCCCTGAATACAGTGATACTACAACGAGGGAAACTGAAGATCAAGAGGCACCAGATGTTCCTGCTAATGATCTTAGCCGGGTCATTGTTGATGCACAGAGATAATGTGAGAGTGAAAAGGAGAAGTTGAAGTTCGATCGCATGTTAGAGGATCACAAAAAATGGTTGTACCCAAATTGTGAAGATGGCAACACAAGGATCGGTACCACACTGGAATTGCCACAATGGAAGGTAAAGAATGGTTTATCTGATAAGGGATTTGAGAAGTTACTGAAAATAATGATGAAGAAGCTTCCAAAGGATAACGAATTGCCTGACTTTGCGTATGAAGCAAAGAAGGTTCTCTACCCTCTAGGATTAGACGTGCAGAAGATACATGCATACCCTAATGACTGCATATTGTACCGTGGTGAGGAGTACGAGAATTTGAATGCATGCCTGGTATGCAGTGCATTGCGGTATAAGATTAGACGAGATGGCCCTGGTGATGTTGAGGGTGAGCGCCCCAGGAAGAGGGTTCCTACCAAGTTGACGTGTTATGCTCCTATAATACCACGGTTGAAACATCGGTCAGAAATAAAGAGCATGCCAAGTTGTTGCGATGGAACAAAGAAGAAAGTAAGAAAGAAAGGATGTTGAGAGTACCCACTGATGGGTCGGAGTGGAGAAAAATCGAGAGTAAGTGGACATAGCACTTGGCATGTAACTCTATGTATCTATAACCTTCCTCCTTGGTTGTGTATGAAGCGGAAGTTTCTTCTGATGCTAGTCCTCATCCAAGGCCCTAAGCAACCCAGCAACAACATTGATTTGTACCTAAGGCCATTAGCTGAAGAAGTTTTACAGTTGTGGGATATCAAAGGTGTACATGTGTGGGATGAGCACAAACAGGAAGGATTTGACCTACGAGCGTTGTTGTTTCTAACCATCAATTATTGGCCTGCTCTTAGTAACCTTTCAAGACAGACAAACAAGGGATACAATGCATTCATGCACTATTTAGATGAGACTAAAAGTATATATTTGGACAAATATAAGAAGAATGCGTACCCGGGACATCGTCGATTTCTGCCGAGCAGGCATCCCTTAAGAAAGAAAGGCACGCATTTCAAAGGCGAGGCAGATCACAGGAAGAAGCCTATCCACCGTACTGGTGATGATATATTTGATATGGTCAAGGATTTAAAATCAATCTTTGGAAAGAGTCCTGGCGGACAATTTGTTCCAAATGACGCTGATGGACACGCACCCATGTGGAAAGTCCTAGAGGTCCGCTCTGCAATCGACGTGATGCACGTGACGAAGAATCTTTGCGTCAACCTGCTAGGCTTCTTAGGCGTGTATGGGAAGACAAAAGATACACTGGAGGCATGGGAGGACCAGAAACGTATGAAGGAAAAAGATGGCATGCTTCAGTATCAAGGTCCTGCCAGCTACACTCTTACCAAAGCAGAGAAGGAAATCTTTTTTGAATGTCTACTATCGGTATCAAGGTCCCGTATGACTTCTCATTAAATATAAAGGGAATAATAAACATGGTAGAGAAAAAATTCCAAAACCTAAACTCTCATGACTGCCATGTGATTATGATGCAAATGCTTCCGGTTGCATTGAGGGGGTTTCTACCAGAAATGTTCTATTAGCCATTGAGAAGCTATGTGCATTC